CAGGAATCCTCTCTCCCTGCAACCCAGACTAAAGGCTGAACTAAAACCACGGTCACACGGTGTTAGAGCAGGGAGATGAGCACAGGAGAGCAGCCACCTGCACTCACCTCTCTTGCTGTGCTTTCCCAGACAGGAACAGCTGGCCACTGCAGGTGACGCCAGGTCAGATGGACAGGCTGCAACCTCCAACCATTCTGAAACAGAAATACTCAGGTTCATTAAAATAGACATTGTATCAGAGCAGACCTTATAGCAGGCAATCAGATCCCACGGGAAGACCAGCTGAAGGCATTCATTGTTTCTTAATAATCTTTAAAAAGTTCAGCCTCCTTTTCATCTTGATACAAATTTAGCATAAGTGTCTTGAAGCTTGTCTTCATTGGAACAAGACACCAAGAAAGGCTGTGGATAGTTAATCCCAGTAAGTGCATGCCCAAGTCTTAGACTTCTACATTTTTCCCAGTAATTACCAACATGTTTGGGGAATTCTGTCTATGTTAAGCTTTGCTGTCATGGATGAACTGCAAGGGCTGTTTCTCATCCCACAGGTCCCACGGGCCAAGGCCCTGTACACCTACCGGGGACACAACCCCGGGGAGCTGAGGTTCAACAAGGGGGACATCATCATGCTGCTCCGACAGCTCGATGAGAACTGGTACCTGGGGGAGGTCAACGGGATCAGCGGCGTCTTCCCAGCCAGCTCTGTGCAAGTCATCAAGCACCTGCCCCTGCCACCACCCCTCAGCAGAGCTCTCTACAGCTGTGACCTGAGGGGCAGGGACAAGCCCGAGGGCAAGGACTGCCTGACGTTTCACAAGGTAACATCACCCCACAGCAGGCAGGGCCTGGCAGCACAGGCTGGGCCATCTTCTTTAGACTGTAAGGTGTTGTGCTGCTCCTCAGCTCCACAGGAGCTTCTTTTGGAGATCAGTAAGGCCCCCAGGCCCCCTCAGACCCTGCTGCCAGTGGCTGAACCCCCAGGACTGCCCCACAGGCACATGGGGGTATGAGCAGGAATTGGGGTATCCAGAGAGGGACACAAGTGCTCACCAGCAGCAGCCACTGCTGTCCCTTCAGCTCAGCTCACCCAAGCTGTTGTCCTTGGCAAGGAGAGGCTGAGGGTGGGAGCCTGCTCTCAGAACCAAAGCACTCCCAGGAGATCTCTGAAAGACACAGCAAAGACCATTGCCTGCAGTTGTTAGCTGGGGGTACACACTGCTGCAGGCAGGACACACCCAGCCCGCTGGAGACCTGTCTCTGCAGAGCAGGACCTGAACTGCTGCTGTCACTCCCTTTAGTGCCCAACGGCTACAGAGCTTGTGTTCACTGTCAGAGGACAAGCTCTCTGAGTAACTGCACCTCCCAGCAAAGCCAGCTGTCCCCGCAGTGTGACAGGAGGAGAGGCAGGAAGAGCAGGCACTGCCCCCCTCTCCCTGCAGCCCTTCCTGCTCCCAAGTGGGAAGGGGAGGCAGGGGAGGGCACCTGTGGGACAGGCCAGATGTCCCCTGGGGTCAGAGCTGGATGTGGGGTGGCTGGCCAGGGGCAGGAGCCAAGAGCCAGCTGTGGTTTCTGACCACAGGGAGGAAGTAAATGAGAAAAATGAGTTCAGGGCAGCATCAGACACCAGCAGCAGGGCTGTGGAAGGTGGGCTGGCAGCAGGCTAGTGCAGATGCAGAGGCTGGGCAGCCAATCCTCCCATGGTCAGAAGTCATGTATTAGCAGGAGGCACCTTCCTCAGCTTTCTGCCATCTCATCCCTGCCCCTCAGCCCTGCACCAAGCACTCAGCTTCCCCGCTCCCTCGCTGGTCTGAAGCCTCCACAACAGGGACAAAAACTGGGGGCTAAAATGCAAAATTCAGGCAAAATATCAAAATTGCACTTTTAACAGCATTTGTTGTGACTGTTCTCGTAGCTCTGATCACTGGGGGATCTGCCCCTGAGTCCCTGAGCTGCTTCCAGGGGCTGCAGGGGGACAAGCCTGGTCCCTCTGGCCCCAGCCACCCCACAAGTGTCCCCCCCTGCCAGGTCAGCCCCTCACAGGCAGCATTCCCAACCTTCCCAGTGCTCCAGCTCCAGAGACCTTCAAGCCACCAGCTCCCTGGCAGTGTTTTGATACCACTGGTCTAGACATGAATGGTATTCCTGCAGTTTAGCTGGAGATGCAGGGTGTAAATAGCACCAACAAGAATTCCTAGAAATAAAATTAATACTTGTAATCATCATAATTACAGCAAGCACCTCTGTGGCTATTTTATAAAAGGACATGAGTAAAACATCTTATGTGAAGCTCTAATATATTTTGAAAAATGTCTTTTCATTTAATGAAATTATTTTAGCTTCAGTTATTACTCATTCAAGTCTGGCATTAACAGAGTAAGTTAGTTGGGGCCGTGCAAATCCAGCAAGAAATGATAAATTAACTATGGAAAAGGCAAAGGTAGGTCTGCTCTGGGAGAGGCTTTTCCTGGCTTGTTTCTGCCCCATTTTATTGCGTCCCCCAGTGTTTACAGAAGGCAGGAAAATGTTTCCTGTTTAGGCTAACGTTAATTACATACAGAAATGACAAAATTGGCAGCTTATAAGTGCACATACACACGCACTCTGGTTTTTAAACCTTGCTTTAAAGAGTGAGGGGGAGGGAAATGTGAAAACAATCCCTGCTTTAAAATGATAATGCTTGAGAGGCACCTGCACGGCTCCTGCGCCCGCGTCATCCTCCTTCCCCCAGCAGCCAGGCACGTTGCCTCACATGAGTGGGTGAGAATCTCAAAGTTTTGCAATTCGTTAATGTCAGCAGTAAATCATGATTAACTCCTCTGGCAGTCATCGTGGTGAAAAACATTGTCACCACATGCCCTTTGCTATTAATACTGTGTGATCAGCAGTTTCCAAGAAATACTGTTTGAAGGCTGCCCATATGCAAACTCAGGGCCTGTCCCTTCCCTCTCTAAGCCCAATGGTTTAAAAGCCAGGGATTTTTTTCAAGGGAAGCAGAACCAAGCCATGAATGTTTTGGCCTACAGACACGTAAGTGGCTGGCTCTAATTCTGCTCAGAAAGCCACCATCAGTGAGGCCTTCTCGAAGCTCATGGGCTGCAGGGTTTGATGTCCTGCTGCAAGACGCACCCAAGTGTGTCAGCATGAGTGGGAGAGGCTGACGTGCCCAAATGTCCCTTTAATTCAGAGCTGAAGTGATTCTAAGGATGCTAGAGAGGCAGCCAGCTCTCCTGCTCTCCTGCTCTCCTCACACCCGTGAGCCAAGGCCTTGACAAACAACAAACCCTTCTGTAAAGCCCCGGGGGGAGCTCCCAGCCTCAGCAGTGGGTTGTCTAAGCAACACGTGTTTCAAACCCATTCTAACCCTGCTGTCAGCTTTGCATCTGTGGCTTTGCATGCAGGACTTGTCACTGAAAACGTACCAAGGAAATGACTGAGCCACAAGTTTTCAAAGATCACCTGTAACATCATCTGAAATCCGCCTGCAGCTGCCGGGGGGGGGGCAGAAGGGCACCTGAGCAGCCTGCAGGCGGTGCCGGGTGTACCTCCTGAACCCCGCTGTCTCCTCTGTCCCCTCCAGCCCAACACCACGGCGCGGCAGCTCCTGCAGACCAGCAAGAGCCACTGGTCCCCGCAGTTCAAGTGCGCGTCCCTCCGGACGGCGTCTCCCAAGGCGAAGGGCGCGGACTCGGCCCCGTTCCCCAAGGTGCCCGACTCCCGGCGGAAGAGCCCGCGGCCGTTCTCCATCACCACCGCCCTCAACACCCTCAACAGGATGGTCCACGCGCCCTCCGAGCGGCAGGCGATCAGCTCCCCCGTGCTCATCAGCTCCAGCAACCCCACCGTGGCCACCCAGAGCAGCGAGAAAGCCGAGCTGCCCCACGGGACCCCGCTGCAGGTGAGGGGGGCTGGGGGGGCAGCACGAGTGCGGAACTCGAGCCCTGGGAAGAAGCACGAGGTGCAGGCAGCAAGGTGAAGAGCTAAAGCACAAACACGGGAAGACAAAGCACCTGTGCTAAGAGCAGCACCAAGATGTGCCACCCGCAGCCGCGATGGTTTCCCCTCGTTTTGCACTGGAAAGGTCTGTCTTCAGGGTTTCAGGGACCTAAGGGAGTTCATAAGAAGATAAATTAGGTTATCAGAGTAACTAAACACAGATAAAGCACATTCCTGACCTGGTTTCTGCCCCACTGCAGGGAGCTCCAGGCATAGAACAGAAAATAGAGAGCTTAACTGCAAAACAAAGTATTTTTCATTTTGGAAAGTACTATGGAACATGAGCTCCCCAGGGAGCTAACTGAGCTCCAGCTCATTCACACACACACACATCTGCATGTGCCTGAATTCATACCACAAGCAAACATCTGGCTTGCCATATAATGATGTTAGATCAAAAACAGCAGCTCTCGACATTTGCACAGTTAGAGCTAAAACCAGCCACTGGCTGCTCTCACCTGTGTCACTTCAATGAGCCTTTCCAAGCTCCTCTCACATAATTAGGTTGCACCAGCACAGTAGGACCTGCAGCATCAGGCCCTGAATTATGAGCAAATAAAAGCCCAGTGAGATGAGTGAGGAGGCTGCATCGTGCTGAGCCACTGCTTTAACGGACTCTGCATCTCACCCCCATGCCCAAAAGGAAAAGAGAAACCTGCTCTTTTTGCTAATTGCTGCTTGCATTTTTCTGGCAAGTGCCCGCCGGGCACGGGCAGGCACTGCAGAAGCCCAGAGCTGTACCCTAATCCCCACAGCTTTCTCCAGAGGCAAACTGCCTGGGGACTGGCTTCCTCACACCACGCCAGGCAGCAGCAGCAGTATAACCCCTACAGAAATAATGAAAACACTACCTGCTTCATCTGAGCAGGGCTGCCCACCCTTCTGAAAAGCTATCAGGGCCTCTGCCCTACCATAAATCAGTCCTCTGCCCACATCTGTCCACGTCCAGATGAAAGAATTCTGCCAGGAGAGGGCAATTAACCGGGTCCTTGTCACTCTGCAATCTGAACAGGGTCTGTGCTGAGAGAAGCAGAATTTGAGGCTGAGATAATAACCATAGCCTGACCTCTTGGACTGTATCCGCTCTTCATTTTAGGAGGGAAAGGAGTCTCATTCCTCCTTCATACTCTGCCTAAAGATCTCAATACAGAATCTTCGCAGATCATCTAAAATGGGAGAAAAAAGGGGTTTGTTTAGATTTATCTGACATCTTTCATATTCAAGGTTGCTCTAAAGCTTTATAAAGCAATAAGCAGGGCCCTGGTAGCTCCGTGTTTGTGCAATAAAACCCAGCAGGCATTTTGTACTTAGCAATAGCCTGCAAAGAGCCTTGGATGTTAGACCCCGTTTTATGTGAGAGGAAATGAAGCCTTACAATAGAACTATAACTCAATTGAAATGGTACCATCTCTTGCAAACCTCATATAATTTTACCAAAAATGTCTCAGCATGAACTATTGTCAACAGCAGAAGCAATAGCGTGTTGGCATGTTGCTGTAGAAGGGTTGGAATCCCCTTTTTTCTGAACAACAGTTTTGCTCCCAGAGGTTTGAGGGAGGACCTGTGCTGCTCATGGGCCACACAGGTTGCAGTTTTTCCTTTTTCCATCTCTGGGTTTGGGTTGCAATGGCTGAGCTGCAAAGTGGAGAATCTTTTGCAAGCCCTGGCACCAGCTGTCACCTGAGGATGGTTGGACTTGGTAATTTCCGAGGTCATTTCCAACCACGATGATTCTGTGACTCTGCAATGGGACAGCACAACCACCTTAGTGAGCAAACTGGAAACCAAGTGACCCTGCTGCTATCCAAGCCTTTAGATCCCTCTGCAAGGACAGGCTTCCAAATAGAAACTGAGTATTTGGATGTAGGTTTTTTTAAAAAAAATCCAAGCGTTTTGAACAGGTATGGTCATTGCTCTCCTTGGGGTCAAAGAAAGTGGGAATTTTCCAGTAGCTTGTAGTTACATGATACTTGCCCCAAGCTATGAGACTCCATGCACTCGAGGGAGACAAAGAGGAGCACTGGCATCCCCCAGCACGGGGGTGCTGGGCAGGGGCGCGGGGGGCTGCACCCCGGGCACCCGCGGGCTCGGGAGCAGGTCGGACTCACCGCTGCCCATGAAAGGGAATACCCGGGAGCAGCCGGCGCTGCCACCCTCCCTCCCTTCCCTGCTGCCAGCCCGGCTCAGAACCGGTTCCCGGCCTGTGGCACACCGAGCCATGCCGGTTGTGCAAGAGCCCGGCACGGCCCGGGGTGCTGAGCCCTGTCCTGCCCCTCCAGCAGCACCGGCAGCTCAGGAATCCCTTCCCAGCCACCCAGGAGCTTATCACCCTGGGCCTGCTGGTGCTCAGGTCAGGAAACATCAGGCCAGAGCTGCTGCTGCCCTTTGCTGCTCCTTAGCAGGAGCTGATCTCCCTGACATCTGCTCTCAAGCACATCAGGCTTCCCTATGTAATAAAGGAGCTGAAAGTCCCAGGCGCGGCTGCCAGTAGCGCCGGGTGCCCCACAGCACGATGGGGACCATGTCCCTCCCCACAAGGCAGCTCCTGAAGACCGGCCAGGGAAGTGCCTGTGTCAGCAGGGAGCCAGGGACAGCAGCCAAGGCAGAAACCACCTTGGCGACAAGCAAGGTGGGGAGATGGAGTAAGAGGGATTTAAGGAGAGGCGGAAATGAAACTCCCTGTGCTTACAAGAGCTTGCAAGGTACTCGCAGGAGATCAGCAGGAGTGCTGAAATCACTTAGACCTGGCTGGAAAATAATTAATTCCATCTTTTAACCTCTCTGTTGACAATACAGAACTGTGTCAGATCCTTCCATGCAGATTGGCAACAGAGAAAGATGGAAAACCTTCAGTTTTCCATCCCAAAGTGAACAACTGAACACAGTTCCATCAGGAAAGCCAGCAAAAGGTTGTCATTTTGCTCCAGTGCAGGAAAAATAAACTCCAGATTCTCAGAATTCAAAGGTTTTGATTATCAATATTATTAAAACAGAATTATAATTCCCAATTAATTTCATTTATATGAGAGGCTGGTCTGACCCCACCTGGATTAGAAAATGAGAAACAGAGATGGTTTGCAGCTTACCTGCCACTCCAGGTCCAGGGACAGAAGCCAGAGTTGCTGGGTTTTTTTAATTAACTTACTGAGAGCAATAGAGATGGTGAGTCACTTTTTTTTTCCCTAGGTCCTTGCTAAGCCAGTGCCCCAGCACCATCTTACAGACATGACCACTAGAAATTAGATTTGAAATTAACACAAGATTAAAGCCCTGACAACTTACATCATTAAAGGTCCTGTGGTCTTTGCTGGAGAGCAAGACTGCCAGCCACATCCCAGCCCAGTGACTTTCTGCTGGGCTGGAATTCCCCAGGGATGCTGCTGCAGCCCCCCTGCTGTGCTGGAGCCACCTCCAGAGGAGAGAGATGTGGTGGTCCATGTTCCAGCCAGCCCTCTGCCTCCCTGCTGGGCATGGAAACAAAGCAGCCAGCTAGCACTGGTCAAAAAACTTCAGCTTCAGTTGTTTTGCTGTTGTCGTCTGAAAGAGAGCTGAGCTTTCATGTGAAAGGGAAGGGTCTACTGCCCGTGGAAAATTCTGGTTTCATTGTAAGACCTTTCACCCCAATTGCTACATAAGTTTGCAGCCAGCAAGGAAAATACTTCCTTTAAAGTATGCTGTCATGCAGCTCCAAGCAGGATTGAGCCCAGCATCTTCCTCTTCTGGCATGGCAGGAATTCCCTGATCCGCACTGCGAGTCTCCTGACCAAAGGGGAAGATGCTAATAGATGGTCCAGGAGATGCAGCCCCAACGGATGGAAAAACAGTGGAGGAGGCACTTAGACCTAAGCCTCCTCCAGGCACGTCAGTAGCATTTCTTACTATAAGTACCGTGTACAGTTGTCCTACACACTTCAGGGGTTTTTATCTGCGTGTTCTTCAGATGGTTTTGGAAAAGAATTAACATTTCCCATGTCTAATAGCTCCAGTACTGTTTTTTTACCACCCATTCAATCTATCAGCTGGCTATGAAACACAAGCCCACTTTGCACCAACAACCCAGCAAAGGAGCTCCATGTCTTGTTCTTGGCATCTGGAAGCTCCCTCCAGCCTGCAGAGTATGCTGGAGATGGGAGTGCAGACTTCCTTGGACTCAGAGAGCTCTTCCTATTTACTTGTCTGAGAGCAGGACTGCTCTCACCTGAGAGCTGGCATTTGTAGAAATTGCCCCTTTTCTTTCCATTGGATGTTCTTAACCCTTTGAACAAACCCCACTCTCCACACAGTCCTCTCATGGAGGTGAAGCCTCTGCAGAGATCAGTGCCATGTGAAGGGGGGACAGCTGCCCATGGTGCAACCATGCTGGAGCCCACCAAGCACAAAGGACATAGAACCAGAACCAGTGGCAGCAGCAGAACAGACACAGAACAGGTGCAGGCAGGTCTGGGGGCACAGCCAGGTGCTCAGCCAGACTCCAGGCACAGGGTGCTCACCTCCAAAATCCCCCAAAGTGGTGGATATTACTCAACCTGCAGGACATGGAGGGGCAGGGGAGAAGGAACAACCCAGAACACCGCCCACATCCTCACTGGGACGACAGGGAGGTCCAAGGAGTCACCTTCTTTCCTCAGGCAGGCGGCAGCAGGGACGGGCAGCGCAGCCCTAGCACGGGGGGTTCAACACACACAGTTACCCTGACAGCAGGAACAGGGCTGAGGTTCCTCCTTGGAACATGAAAGACCCCTGCGAGAGGACAGAGGGGGGGCATTACGGTGGCTGGTACCCCCAAAGGTGCAAAATGGTAGTGGGGAAAGGGCCACCCCAAGGCCCAGCCCAGGCTGTGCTCCCAGACGGCAGCAGCTGCTCCGGAGCTCGGCCCGCGGGGCTCCTCGGGACGCCGTGGACAGAGTAAATAGCTTTAATAATAGTTATTAAAAGATCACTGAGGCACGGACTGTATTATTTAGGGTTTAGACAATGCCAGTACACCCAGCTGGAGCTAAATAACTAACAAGTGAAACAGCAAGGCTTACACAGCCCTCACCTGCAGACGCGAGGGCTGCCTGCCCAGAGCCCTCCCCGGCGCAGGCACCACACAGGGAGTGAACAGGAGGAGCCCACCTTGCTCAGGGACAAGCAAAAAGGGTGAGAAAACACCGAGCACAAGGAGAGAGGCACAGGAGTGTTTCCAGCTCGAGCAGATCTCATATACTTGAGATGAGCAGCAATTACAGGTTTAGGGCTCAAACTTGTCCTTTCTTTCTCCCTGCAGGTCAGTGCATCTTACTACCCTGTGCCAGGGTCCTTGGGGCACTCTGCAGCCATCGTCACTCTTCCCCACCTGCAACACCACATACCAACTTACATGTACGTAAGGAAACTGAAATATGCTGGGGGGGGGGGCCTTGTAATTTCCTGTACCTTCACCTTAGGCTTATCCAGCCAAAGGTTCTGTGAGCTGGGAGGCAAAGGCAGATGGAGCCCAGCTCCCGTGTGCTCGGATCCAAATGCAGATCCATGTAGGAATGTACTTGGCTGGTCTCATCAGGGGGTCACAGTGACAGCATCACAGTTGAACTATTCTATTTCCAGCTGGTGAACTGTCCTTGAATCTTACTAACTTATTGCAGTATTTACAGATTATAGTTCTGCCTATACATTTAAATTGTTTTAAATACACAGAAACTCCTTAAATGTCTCTAGTTATTTAAGTAAACCAGTGATGGTCACTGGTGTGTTGAAGGATCTGACCTTTTAAAACTTTCCCAGGGTTAAAATTTGCAGATAATACATTGTGATGAATTGTTTTCCTGTAGATAAGATTCAGCAGCCTGGCACTGTACCTAATAACAACCTGATAGCAGCAAGCTGTCTACATGGTAATTAGCACCTCCACAGTATCGGGCCAGACCTGTGGAATCACTGGTACCCAGGAGCAGTATCTGTGCTGAGCTCAGGATGCTGCTGCTTTCACACATGAGCACAGGTCATCTGAGACTATTGCACACATTTAATCCTGAGCACAGGAAAACTCCTAATACCTTAAAATAGTTTGCAGAGTGAGGATGTTACTAAACTGTGCAATCAGCTGCCTGTTCTGCACAGCTCCTTTTCCAGCCTTACTATCTCAAACCTGTATCTGCACATCCCACTCTCCAGGGAGTCCTGTATAAAATGCCAAACCACTGCAGCAGCAGAACAGCCTCACACTGAGCCTGCTGCTCTGGGCAAGGAGCAGTCACTTTATAAAGACAGGCATTTCCAGGCAAACTTTCAAGTGGCTGGTCTGAAGAGCAGGGAGAAAGAAACCTTTTTAAAAATTATGGTAGAGCCCTTGACTATCTAGACAACTACTCTGTTGTTTCTATTTTTGAAATAATATCTGATAATTGCTGTATTGGTCTGTAACTCATTAATACTAGGGAGTAGATCACATTCCCCTTGAAGAAAAACAACAACAATGCAATTAAATTAAATGTGTTACACTGGAGACAAAGTTCTTTGAAGAACTAATGGGAAAGTTTTGAAAACTATACCATTTTCTTTTGCTCCTGTTTTGCTGTGTGGTCACGAGTGGCTCCCTGTAGAGAACAAAGCTTCATCACCTGGTCACAGTCCCAGAATCACAACAGAGGGTCTAGAGGGGATCTCAATTTGGTTTCTGCAGGCAAACAGCTGCTGCTCACCCAGAGCCAGTGCAGAGGGTCTCCAGCATGGCCAAACCCCGGAGCTGCAGGGTGGGCTCTGACTGTGCTGCAGGCTCCCTCCTCACCCCCTCTCTCCCCAGGTGTGTGGCTCTGCATTCCTACCTGGCTCACAGACCGGAGGAGCTGGAGCTGCAGAAGGGAGAAGGGGTCCGTGTCTTCGGGAGGGAGCAGGAGGGCTGGCTGCGGGGCATGTCCCTTGCCACGGGGAGAGTGGGCATCTTCCCCAGCAACTACGTGGCTCCCCTCTTCAGGTCTGTTTTTTCTTGCATAAACAAAAACACACGGGGAGGGGAGGGGGTAACACGTAGGATTCGGGGTCTTCTCGTTCCCGCTGAGAAATCTCTGCCAGGGATTCCTGAGGGACAAGGGCCAGGGACCCCTGAGCTGGGGGGGTTGGCTCCCGGCAGCTCTCACGCCTTCAGCTTCCCCGAGTGCCCGCCGGGCTGCCCGGACTTCCCGGGAACCTCACCTGCCGCTGCCCTGCCGGGGGCCACACGGCCCGGAGCAGCCCAGCAGCAGCCTCTGGCCGGTTGCTGA